CAGCTTTTAATACTTAAGAATATTCTAAGGTTTGTTTTTAAATTGCAGAAAGCTGATTAGCGGCCGCTTAATTTCGTCTTTTAGCTTTTCGAAGCTTATTTGCTTAAGGATCTTATTTTAGCTTTGCTGTACGAGCATTAGCTTTTATCGTATAAAGATTGGTTGATAATTAGCTTTTTTTTAGCTTTTTTTTTTAAAAAAAATTAATAAATTAATAAAAGTTAGAATATTACGTAAAAAAGATACTTATTTTGCGCTTGCCAAAGTTTTTTAACACCGGATTGCTTGTCGCTACGATTGCCGTCGTATCGGCCGCGTTCTAAGAAAGACGTTTTTGATTAGTAAATAGATTAATAAATAAAAAAATAATTCTTATTATAGATTTTTTAATCTTTTCTATCAAATTAAGCTGATTTGTATTTGCAATAATACTTTCTATCGAATCAAGCTGATAAGCGGCTATATTGAATAATATTATAAAAAAGTTAAACGTTAAGAATATGTTGGATCGCCGGTAGCGATCTCTCGTAATAATTCGTAAAAGTCGTGACGTCGTCAAAGTACTTGCAATTGCAAAACACTCGGTGGTAAAATACTTAATTGTTGCTTGTTGTTCTGATTTATTTCATCTGCTCTAAGAAAGCTGACTCCTTCTATACAATAGGAAGGAGTCACGTGTACTAGCTAAATACTAGGTTTACAAGCAGGTTGGGGGCCCCTTGACCTGTGACAGGCTAAGCGAGGCATGCTTAGTGGCCCGTGAACCTTGGTTCACGAGTGAGCTCCCCCCAATTACTATTTACTAGCTAAGGTCGATATAAATGAACCGACACCGGCAAAACTTTCTTTGGCAAACAGTGCTTTGCCAACTATTATATCGACCGAAAAAGAAAGGTATTGAATAGAAATATAAGATACAAGGAAAAAAGAATAAAAAAAAATTCAAACGCAAGGAATAAAGAAAAAAAATCCTTCTTAAAACAAATCCCTTTCCTTTCCAAAACCCGTCACCTTGCGAAGTGCTCACAGTGCTCTCCTCCGTATTGGCAGCCTTGAATAAAGCACTCGTACTCGCTCTCAAGGTCGTCAGGATCAGCCTTGCCTAAGGCATACTGAAAGGAGTGCTGAAGAGAGTGCTGAGGAGAGTGCTGAAAGGAGTGCTGAAAGGAGTGCTGAAAAGAGTGCTGAGGGGAGTGCTAAGAGGAGTGCTGAGCAAATGGCTCGCTAGAGCTCGCGTAAGCTCTGCTTGCTTTGGCGGGAGGTCGTAAGCTCTTACTCTTAAGAAGAGGTTAAATGATCTCAGTTGCAAAAGCAATTGCTCGGCGAATATCAGCAATTGCAGCGGTAGAAGTGATTGCGGGGTTCATCCGCGCAATAGTCGTCTCTGGCACGTTTTTATAAGCTGAATATAGCTTATTAGCGAAACTACGATCATCTCTCAAACCTAGACGGAGAGCTTTTTGCACTGCTCTTAGCTCCTTTTCGAGCTTTTCAAAGCACTCAGCTAGCGAATTAGCTGGATTCTCCTTCCGAATCAATTCCAATAAGATTTCTTCCTAACGGTCGTAATTAGCTTGCCGCCGTTAGTCAGTCTTAAAATAGTCCTTCACTGCAATAGCGTTTGCCTTAAAAGTAGGTAGCTGAGCTTTGATTACGTAGTTGTAATAAAACTCAATTGCTTCCTCGGCGAGCATAATCGAGAAAGCAGCCAAGTAATCATCGATTGTCAACCCGTATCGGCACGCGTGATCGGCAAAAATCCTGAGCCGAGTATTAAAATCGTTTTTCGGCCTTGAATACTTTAGCTCTTTTAGAAAACTCCTTGCAAATAAAGCTAACTCTTTCGCTTTTGGGTAAGGGTCTGCCGTTCCGAGCTCAGGAAAATCGTCGTCGTCTGGGGCTCCCGGGGTGCCGTACGCAGGTGTGCTGTGCTTGGCTAGCACTCGGGTCGAAAAAGGGGTGTTAATAAGGGGTCGGTTTGGCCCGGGTCCGTCGAGGGGCTCGTATCCTCGTCCAAGGTCCCTTGGCGGCTCATTTCCTTGTCCCTTTGTCGGGCCACCGTGTCCTCTTCCTCTTCTTCCGTGCCTATTCCACTCGCTTCCCCTTCTATTCCCTCTTTCTGGATCACCGTCCGAGCCGTCAAGGTCGTTAGGGTTGCCAGCAGGAGCTTGCTCGTATCTTCGGGCTCGGTCTTAGCGGTATTCATTACCTTGGTCTTGCTGCGAACCAGAACGAAGATCTTCACGTTATCTTTAGTGAGAGTAAAAATTGCTTAGAATCTCCTTAATCTTTAAGGGCTCGTCGTACTTCTTAGCGTGTTCCTTCGGTGATAAAATCGGTAGCTGAAGTAGTAAAGGAACGGGAGAAGGAAGTGAATCGCGAGAACTTCGCTTTGATGATTGCCTTGCTGCCTTGAGCTCCTCCTTATGCCTTATAGCCTCTTCGATTTTCTCTTTACGCTGTTGCACGTCCTTCGTAATTGTCAAATTTCGGAGGTCGTCGAGGTCTCGCGCAATTGCTTCTTTTTAGCGTCGGAGCTCTTCGTACTCTTCTCGAAGTGATTGGCGAAGCGAATTTGGAGTTGTAAGTAGAAGTGAATTCGAAAGTAAAGGCTCGTCGATGATTTTGGTGAGACGAATAAGACCTGACTGATTAGGAAACCTCTCGACCTGCTTCCCTTGAATTTTCGCGACTTCTTCAGTTTGTCGATTAAAGCGTGCAATAGTAATATCGTTCCACCTAAAATCAAATCCCTCGATTGATTGCTCTCGCTATTCTTTCCAAGTCCATTGGTGCTCCTTTTTTATTTAAATAATTGAGGCTAGTCTATTGGCGTAGCCTTTTTGCCTTAGGAGGCACCAAACTCCCTTAGACATTAAGTGATCCTTTAGCCTAATAAGCAACGTAAACTTATTCCCTCGGCCGTGTGCTTGTTTGGCGGCTAAAAAGAACTCGTCCGCGCCTTATCTAGCAAACGCGTGTCGGAATAAAGACTAAAGCTCGTGGTCTCTTAATCCCTCACTCTTTATATCCAAGAAGTCTTCGATAATTAATCTAGCCTTTATATGACTTTCTGGCTTCGAATAAAGTAGTGAATCGAGGTCAAAATCGAGGTCCGACGCGTCTTCGTCTAAGGCTTCGAAGGTATTCCGAGTGCTTGGGTCGTTCGGTAGCATTAAAGGAGGTTCCGCGGGTCTCGAAAAGGGGTCCGTAGCTCTTGCTGACGTTCCAGAAGCTCCTTATCTGCTTCGAAGATCGATTGACTGCATATTGTTGTATTGCTGTGTATAGCTAGCGTAGCTCTATAGCGTTGATAGTATTGTTGTATTGCTGTGTGTAGCTAGCGTGGCTTTAT